AGAAAAGCTCTAGCAAATGAACTACACGATCTTGTGCTATGCTTAGGATTGGGTCTTGTCCATCACATCATTCTCCTAATGATGTGATCCCGTTATCAACGACATCCAATGTCCATGGTCAGAAAACCATAACCATCTATTGATCAACGAGCTAATCAACTAGAGGCTTACTAGGGACATGTTGTGGTCTATGTATTCTCACATGTATTACGGTTTCCGGTTAATACAATTATAGCATGAACAATAGACAATTAGCATGAACAAGGAAATATAATAATAACCATTTTATTATTGCCTCTAGGGCATATTTCCAACAAGAACCTATGAAGGATGGGCTAGAATGACGATGACAATTCTGCCACCCGATTCGCCCGCTGGACGACGCATGGGTCGTTCTTCCAGAAGATGGACTTGATGGAATTCCCTCAAAGAAAAGGGATCCTGATACATGTGGCACGAAGCAATTCCGTCCACACGTGTGGGCTGAAGGATATCGGGCTAAACGCTCTTTTAGCCACCCATTGTGACACATCAGCCTTTTTGTTTCTTTTGCACATGCATGCAAACAGGGAGAAAAACAGATGATGTCAGCGGGAATTGTTTAGGTTTTTCAAACTTTAAAATGTTTTATCTCTTAAATGAAAAATCTGATTGGAAATCTGTTTTGACCATTAAATTCATCGTGACGAGGACTTTGAAACTAGACCCCGTATTGATATGTTTTGACGATATTTTTTGGCAGTCAAAAGTTGTCATGTCTATTGCTAATAAATTGCCATGATGTTTACACTGAAGTTTTCATAATATGTTTCAACTATTTTTTCTTCTATATTTCAAGTAAATTTTGACATGTAATGAAAAAGGGAATTAAGAAACTAAACTTTCCATGGAGAATTACTAAAATTTGCCATGATCCATGAAATAATTTTGAAATGGTTCATAATTAAAAAGAAATCTGTTGTCAATTAATTTCAAAATGCATAGTCAATGACTCAAATTTGCCATGAACCAGAAACTAAAATTGCTATGGTGAATTACTTAAATTTGCCATGATGCATGTACTTAAATTTGCCATGGTTCATACAAAAAATAATTTTTATGGTCAAAATACTAGAATTATCATGATATATAAACTAAAATTGCCATGATCTATAAACTAAATTTGCCATGATAAATTACAAAAAATTGCCATGATCCATGAATTAAATTTGCTGTGGTTAATTACTAAAAATTGCCATGGTCAATTAATAAAATTTGCCCTACAAAATAGTTGAAATACAATAGTAGCTTTAAATCAAGCAAAAAAATAGATGAAACATATCATGGCAACTTTAGTGTAAACACTATGACAACTTCAGTGTAACATCATGCCAACTTTTAGCAAAAAAAAGTCATCAAAATATAAGAATATGAGATCTAGTTTTAAAGATCTCTTCGAGACGAATTTAATGATGAAAAAATTTAATTAGGTTTTTTATTTAGGAGATGAAACATTTTTAAGTTCAAAAAACAAAAAATATTCCGCTGATGTCATCTGTTTGATGTGGCAAAACGGATGATAATGGGGGCGTTTGGACCATGTTATTTCGTGCCACACGTGTGGCACTTATCATTTAGGAAGAAAATAGAAAAACAAAATTGGTTTCTCTCAGTAACTCGTCATGCAGTCGGGTGAGGTTAAGTCATTGTGTGTGAAAGGTTGTTTGCGATTGTGTTGTTGTCCAACTCTGCCATGCTGAATTATAAACGTGTTAATTAGAGATAAATAAAAAGAGATAAATATATGCTCGATGAGTTTCCTCCAGTCCTAGCAAAAGGGATGGTCTCATGACTTTCACAAGGTGCAAGGACCACGACTATAGCTCCGCCATCTATAACATAGCGCAAAAAACCCTCCACCTCCGGCTATGTGCGGCTACACCAGCTACGACGACTACACCATCGATCATGACTAACTTGACCGCGGAAACCTCATCATGATCGGCTACCTCAACCTCGACATCAAGGGCCACGTCTACAACTATTCATCGGCAACAATTTCAGTCAACAATGCTTGTGTCCCCACTAGAGTTCACGCCACTCCCTCTTTGATTGTGTGAGGGAACATAAGAGATACAGGGGATGGTAGGCACCGCCTTAGGTCCCGGACCATGCATCAGAATGTACTTGATGATGATGAAGGAGAAGACGACAGAAGCGCAAGACTTCAAATTTAGTTGCAATCATCCATTTTACTCCCGTTACGACTGAGGGGAGATGTTATAAGTATAAACGTGTTAGTTAGAGATATAGATATATTTGGTTTAAACCAATAATGAATTATCTTGTACTCCAATCCTCTCTCCATGTTGTACTTCATATATACCCGCGAGGGTCATTGCAAATACACAATCAAAATATGCAGGGTTCATGTAATTTTCACACTTAATTTAGGCGGCAAATATCCGCTCAGTTTGAAAAATACATTGCGACTGAGTTTAGTTATCCCGGGTCAAACATTGCAGACCAAGTTTATAGAGGGGAGATAACACAAAAATGCCATGGCGAACATGTATCCGAATTGCAAAAATAAATGAATGAAAAAATCAAATATTTCTGAAACTTTTTTTGCAACAAACATTATCTAGTATATTACTAATATGTAAAGTTTTGTGAGAAAAAATTAATTCTGTGATATTGTAGGCGGATAAAAAATTGATATCATATAAAAGTTCTAGTTCACATTTTTTTAATTGCAATTTTGTCTTTTGCCAACAAATCCACAAAATCGCAACTACGTAATTGCAAAACCATAATACCAAATGTGGACTAAATGCCAACCACACACAATGTGATACATTTTCAACACTACAAAGATAAGAAAATTTGTGACACGCAAGGGCGGGGCACATGGATTATGGGCCGTGCATCCGCGCCAAGATTTGGAAAGTAGTTTGTGTGTGTAGATTGTTTGCTCTTATATCTGTGCAATGCATTTGTAAATCAGAGCAATATACATGTCCATGTGAGTCACGTATCTTCTCGCTTAGCTGGGCCACCTCCTCGGATCACCCGATGTGTTTGCTGCTCCTCGGCTTCCATGAGAAGAGCTTGGCAGGTGGGGTTGGGGTGAAGGGGGCGGCTATCCTGGCCCGAGGAGAGTTCTCCAGCAGTGCATCGGAGATATAAAACCACTCCTCCTGCCTGTTTTTGACGGTTTCAATAATGGTTACATTTAGATAATCGAAACCAGGGATCTTGTTGATTGTCGTGACGTTGCATTCTCATTCCTTTGGGTTGTTGCTTTGGAGCTTCATGTTGAAATACTTGCACCAGAGCCCGAAGTGTGGCTCGCAGCACAAGAATGCCTCACAGAAAGTAACATAGCAGGCGATGTGCAGAATGGAATTGGGAGCGAGGTGATAAAGCTGAAGGACGTAGAAATGGAGAAGGCCTCAGGGGAAGGGGTGAATTGGGAGGCCAAGACCGGACACGAGATGGGAGACGAAAACATACCCTTTCGGTCGTGCAGGGCTGAGGCACCCTCACTGACCAGAGGCCTGCTCTGATGGGGCCTAGTCTACAGTGGAGAGCCTCCACTTTCCCCTCGTCCCGGACGGGACCTTGGGTCTCGTCGCTGGCTTCTTGCTGGCGTTCGCCTCCTGGCTCTGCATCCTATCTCCGGCCATGGCATCAGATGAGGCTATCAATGGAAAGCACGGTTGGAAGTATCAGTATGGTCGATTAGAGGGGGGGGGGGTTAAATAGGCGACCAACAATTTTTAACTTTGTTCTCATTTTTAGGATCAACAATGATAGGTTGTCTAGATATACAACTAGGTGGACAACCTATATGACAAGCACAAGGAGCAACACAAGCTAGCAAGAGTAAACACAAGGCGGAATCTAGCAGCAAGTAAAGGAACGAGATAATCACAGGTGGAGACGATGGAGACGGGGATGTGTTTCCAAAGTTTTCTTATTTGGGGGAGATGGATGTGTTTCCAAAGTTTCCTTATCCAAGGGAGATATGTCTCTGTTGGAGGGGTGTGGAGGCACAATGCTCTCAAGTGTCACAAAGACTCACTCTATTCAATTCATGCCCTCGCACAATGCAAGGTGCCGCGAATCCACTAGCTGCACCCTTGAAGGCGGCAACTGGAACCTGTACAAACAAGGTTGGGGCTCATAACACTTCTATGATACACCTAAATAAATAATGTATTCTTTATAACCAAATTGGTCAGATTATATTATACTCGAAAGTAAGCACATCAAACATTGAATAGTGCAATGATTTGATCGGTAACATCATTATTTTTTTATACCTCCTGTGGTGACGCACGGGCATTCGACTAGTACACTAAACATGCATTTGCAACATGTAATGAAGCAATATATAAGGGAAAGAATAATAACATGGCTCCACAAATATGAACTTAAACAACATGATAAAGATAGATAGATAGGGATAGCATGTCTCACACCATGTAACATAAAAAGTCTCCAAACCAAATAAGTTCACAACTCAAAGCAAATAAGTTTCAATGAGAACTTCAATGAGATTTGGCGAAAGCTATCGCAACATTTTTGTTCTACAAAAACATCATTTTCCATGTGATGGGATATTAATTGCATACAGTGGAAACACATAGGCTAGGGTCGGACTACAAATATATAGCATCTCCTTCGTCCACTCCATGATCCGCTTCCAGTTTTCAGGGCGTGTCGAGATCAACCCAGATGCACAAGAAGAGGATTGTGAGCGATGCAAGGAACGCTTCCGCGAGTTTTGGTGGGAACCAACAGAGTACACTTTTTCCACAAATGGGAAGCCTCGGAAACCCCAAGTTCTGTTGTGAGCAAATAGGGGTTTTCTTTTCCTTCCTCGAGAGATGTTTTCTACATCGAGGTAAAAGAGCACAAAGGATAAGCATAGCTGCAGAAGTGTGGTGAATGAAGAATAGTAGACAACAGAAATGAACTCGGCGCCATCATCCTACCATAGCTCATAAAGTTCTTCAGTCTTGGTTGGAACCAAATTGTTTCCTTATGTCACCAAATGATACAGTGGCAGAACCCCTTCTCTTAGGCTTTTGCTGTGATGAATGCTCCTTCCACCCAGTCATGTAAATTACCTGCACAAAACAACTACTCACTCAATTGCAATATATACAAAGAGCATGTTTGTTCTTAGCATGGAGATTTAAATGGCTTAAAAGCAATGAAAACTGTTGAGAAAAAGTCCAAATTAGCCCAGTTGCATTTATTTTGTTTTGGAAAGCGTGAATTGCGCATGCATTTCCCCTCTCAGATTTACTCCCCGCTCTCCTAGGCGAGTCCGGTGCAGTGAAGATTGGTTGCTTATGCATATGTACAGCAGAACGGAGTGAAAGCACTAAGAGTAAGATCAGAAAATTAATGGGGAACTGCATTGTTTCTACTCTGTATTTAGTCAAGTTGGAAAACCGTAAACAAAAGAACTGCACCCTGCAATATGAAATGAATGGAGTAACAAACTTTAAATACATGGAATGTTTATAATGAGGAACTGCATGGTTTCTATTCTGTATTTAGTCAAGTTGGACAAGATGGGATATTATTTTTTAACTGTACAAAACCTGAAAGGTTGCTGGAATGGTTCCATCTTCTAACCCAAACATTGACTGGTAAATGGCTGCAGTAGCTAGTGCTGTATCTCTCTTTAATATCTGCCAATAGAAAACCAATGTAAATTCAGTTACCATGTTAACTAAATTAATTGGGACTAAGCCATTTTCAGTAAACATTATGATAAGAAAGGCTCACAGGGCTTCTTTGAAAGAGAGCATTTGTTTCTGCCATTGCTCTAAGATGTTCCACAAGTTCAAGAGCTAGTTCGCAATAAGTAATAAAATTGTTAGGACAAATAAATAACTTGGTGAATCGACATATGCAAATATTGTGGAGATGTTTAAAACAATAACAAATTAACGTGGTTCTTGAATATAAAATATATTTATCAGACACAACATTGCTAATTGTATATCGATGAGACAAAAGTGACCATTGCAATCTGATAGTCATAAGAATATTTACTGAGCAGTCAGAATAAAGAAAAGATGTTCATTCAATCTTCACAAAATATTGTACGAAGAAATTCACTAATTGGAAAATCCAAGTTTTTTTGTACGCACCACTATTGTACTTGACTGTATATCGATCTACATCAACTCCTGGAAGGGCGAAGCCTGCCCTTGACAAAAGGTTTCCTGCATCACGGACCTTGAAATGTACAACCCAATGTCGCCATTAGAACCAAAGACACTAATAAGTCAAGGTAAAGGCAATGGTTTGCAATGACAGGCTATTCAACAGAGGCATACAAGAAGAACAAGCAATCCCCATTGGACGAAATCTCGGATTATAAAGGAATCATACTTGTGCTAATGGCGACATTCGAGGACTGATGCCTCCCTCACGTTCCATTTGAGCAATTGTGCATGCAATTCTTAGTTCCCTGATCATAGCATCCAAGAAAAGGCAAGTCAAACAAGAAACTGGGAAATGTCGATAAATGGTAAATCTAAGATTATCACTTCAGAGTCTCCCCGCCAAGAATTGCTGCAAGAAAAAGGCCATCAGGCTTCAACGCCAACCTACACTGCCATCAAAGGACAGCCAATTACCATAGTTCAGATGTTTTAGTGCTTGATAACTTAATGCTTTCAGGGTTTAAAATAAAAGACTTACCTGTATCATTGCTCCAGGTAGATCATTTGTCCAATGAAGTCCAAGACAGCTCATTATCAAATCCTGGGAGCTTCAGAAACCAAGAGCCACATCAATAGAGGAGTAGACAATGCAAGATCACAATTTATTTACTTTTAAATTTGACAATTAGCCACTCACACCTAAAATATATTGACCCACTCAAGCATAAGATAGCAGACTAGCAGACTACAAATTGACAGTTTATCTCTTTGGTGTATATATAAAGTGGGGCCCCCAATACATTAGCATTCAAGGGAGCTGGAGAAAGTATGCTGATCCAGTGCAGTTTACTCTAATCATACGAAAATGGAACCAACAAACACACTGAAAGTATAACATGGTTGGTATTTACTTCTCTTTGATAGGAAGATACTCTTCATCTCCAACGATAAAGTTCATCTCGGGGCCGTCGTCAGTAGCACTCTCCAACTCCCGCCACTTGTTCACCATGTCTACCGACATGTCCATCATGGTCAATTTCTCGATTCCACCTGGCACACAAATCATTAGCGCCATCTTGCAGGTTAGTTCAACATATCAGGAGAAGCAACGTGTGGCAGATCATTTCAATTGTCGGATGTGAAAACCGGAACTTTCAGGAAGACATTTGACATGGTTCAACGCAGTGATTAGTACACATGATAAGAGGTTGGTGCAAGAAATAACAAGAAAAGCGAGCTGAGTAGCTTCTTACCGCGGCCGCGAAGCGACCGGCGGACGGCGCCAGCCGAACCGCCGAGGCAGAGTGCCGAGGGGAACGCCTTCCTGCAGTCCTCGAGGCGGTCGAGGAGGTTATCTGCGACCGCGTCTACCAGTGGATCAGTTTCCCGCATCGCCCACGCCGCCCGGTCCCGGTGTCGGCGCTTCAGATCGCGATCGAAGATCTTGACGCGGCCCCCGTCCAGCAATTCGTCCGCCGAGGAGGAAGAGAAGTGGTGATTGGGAACGAGGTGGTGGCGGCGGTGGCGCAACAGCAGAAGGCGACGTGCGGCGGCCGCGGCCCCGGAAGCCATGGCGAGCGACGGAGCGAGCACCGGCGGTTGGAGGAGAGAGAAGGGCTTCTTTTTTTTTTTTAGTTCAGGAGACCTTTGTCTTTTCTTAGAAATGGTTTTTGGGTTTTTATCATCTAGAGTATGTCACTGGTTGTATCTCACTATTCAGTTACTAGTAAATTTGCACGTGCAACACACGTGTAATTTTAATCCGGCTTGAAAATATACCTGAATTTTCTTTGAAAAAGTAAAATAAAAAATAGTTTGTGTAAGCACCAGCAACGACAGGTCCATCTCTTCTTTTAAATGGGTTGAAAATTGTACTAATCCAACGTAGTTAATGGTATATGCAAGTGACCAAAAAAGGGGGCACATATCTTGTCCTCGAACCGCTAAAAGAGAAATCAAAAAATCTAAGCACAATCCATTGAAAATCAGCACAACTGATCCACTACCCAGCTACTACCAAAAGTTCCATATCACTGTACTTAGTTGTTTCATAGCGCATGTTGGTAATGAAGCTTAATAACTGCTGAATGTGTGCACATAAGGCTGCTTTTGGTTCGGTTCTACGAAACCTGATTTGGGTTCATTTTTTAGTGCATCAATCTTCTTGGGAAGAAATGAAGAAAGCAGAGATGAAAGACCTCTGGCCTGGTGGCTGCGTGTTTGACGCTGGCGTATCCCCTGAGGCGGCGCTGACGACCTAGGCCCGACGAAGAGGAACGGGCAGGCGGTCCAGGCAGTGTCCATGATGCTCCGACAACTCGACGCCAACGGACGGCCATGCGGCGTCCCTGACAGGTCCGACGGCGATGGGCGGTCCAGGCGGTGCCTCCGACGTGCCCCCGCCGGTCGGCCAGGTGGTCCAGGCGGCGCCTTCGACGTGCCTCCGTCGGTCGGCCAGGCGGTCCAGGCGGTGCCTCCGACGCGCCCCCGTCGATCGGCCAGGCGGTCTAGGCGGTGTCCCCAATAGTCGGCGTCTTTGAAGTTGCGGCGGCATCGCTACAGCCGAGGCCACGCAAAGGCGATGGGTAGAGGTGGCACGGAGATGTGAGGGGCGGCGTCCTTGAAGCTGCTGCGAGTTGAGTCGATGGGGGCGGCGTGCGTCGCTGAAGCGAGGTGATGGGGCGGCGCTCTAGGGCAGTTCATTGTGGCAGTTTCCTTTCGTGCAAAAGGGTACTAAGGAAGGGGATCGCACGACGGTTCGTTGTGGCAGCTTCCTTTCGTGTGAAAGGGTACGTAAGGAAGGGGATCGCACGATGGTTCGCTATGGCAGTTTTCTTTCATGTGAAAGGATACATAAGGAATGGGATCGCACGACGGTTTGCTGTGGTAGTTTCCTTTCGTGTGAAAGGGTACGTAAGGAAGAGGATCGAGGAGAGAAATGATTAATTAGCAGTAAACACGTTTAGCACTAAATGTGTTTCGCAGTAAAAATGCCACTCGACACCATGATTGTCATCTCAAATCTCGTTTGCCATGTCATAATGACCAAAATACCTATAGATCAACATGTCAGCTTTCCCTCTATCTCACTACAATAAAGTGTGGGTCCCACTTGTTGGGCAACATAGTAATTTCAAAAAAATTCCTACGCACACGCAAGATCATGGTGATGCATAGCAACGAGAGAGGAGAGTGTTGTCCACGTACCCTTGTAGACCGAAAGCGGAAGCGTTAGCACAACGCAGTTGATGTAGTCATACGTCCTCACGATCCGACCGATCAAGTACCGAACGTACGACACCTCCGAGTTCAGCACACGTTCAGCCCGATAACGTACCTCGAACTCCGATCTGGCCGAGTGTTGAGGGAGAGTTTCGTCAGCACGACGGCGTGGTGACGATGATGATGTTCTACCGACGCAGGGCTTCGCCTAAGCATCGCTACAGTATTATCGAGGTGGACTATGGTGGAGGGGGGCACCGCACACTGCTAAAAAATCAAACGATCAATTGTCATGTCTATGGGGTGCCCCCTGCCCCCGTATATAAGGGAGCAAGGGGGGTGCGGCCAGCCAGGGAGAGGGCGCGCCAGGAGGAGTCCTACTCCCACCGGGAGTAGGACTTCCCCCCTTTCCTAGTTGGAATAGGATTCGGGAGAAGGAAAGAGAGAGGGTAAGAAGGAAAGAGGGGGGCGGCCCCCTTGCCCTAAACCAATTCGGTTTGGGCCTTGGGGGGCGCGCCCCACACTCCCCTTGCTTCCCTCTATTTCCACTAAGGCCCATGTAGGCCCATTAAGCTCCCGGGGGGTTTCGGTGACCTCCCGGTACTCCGGTAAAATCCCGATTTCACCCGGAACACTTCCGATATCCAAACATAGGCTTCCAATATATCAATCTTCATGTCTCGACCATTTCGAGACTCCTCATCATGTCCGTGATCACATCCGGGGCTCCAAACAACCTTAGGTACATCAAAACATATAAACTCATAATATAACTGTCATTGAAACGTTAAGCGTGCGGATCCTACGGGTTCGAGAACTATGTAGACATGTCTCCGGTCAATAACCAATAGCGGAACCTGGATGTTCATATTGGCTCCCACATATTCTACGAAGATCTTTTATCGGTCAGACCGCATAACTACATACGTTGTTCCCTTTGTCATCTGTATGTTACTTGCCCGAGATTCGATCGTCGATATCTCAATACCTAGTTCAATCTCATTACCGACAAGTCTCTTTACTCGTTCCATAATACATCATCCCGCAACTAACTCATTAGTTGCAATGCTTGCAAGGCTTATGTGATGTGCATTACCGAGAGGGCCCAGAGATACCTCTCCGATAATCGGAGTGATAAATCCTAATCTCGAAATACGCCAACCCAACAAGTACCTTTGGAGACACCTGTAGAGCACCTTTCTAATCACCCAGTTACGTTGTGACGTTTGGTAGCACACAAAGTGTTCCTCCGGTAAACGGGAGTTGCATAATCTCATAGTCACAGGAACATGTATAAGTCATGAAGAAAGCAATAGCAACAGACTAAACAATCAAGTGCTAAGCTAACAGAATGGGTCAAGTCAATCACATCATTCTCCTAATGATGTGATCCCGTTAATCAAATGACAACCCATGTCAATGGTTAGGAAACTTAACCATCTTTGATCAACGAGGTAGTCAAGTAGAGGCATACTAGTGACGCTCTGTTTGTCTATGTATTCACACATGTATTATGTTTCCGGTTAATACAATTCTAGCATGAATAATAAACATTTATCATGATATAAGTAAATAAATAATAACTTTATTATTACCTCTAGGGCATATTTCCTTCAGTCTCCCACTTGCACTAGAGTTAATAATCTAGATTACACAGTAATGATTCTAACACCCTTGGAGCCTTGGTGCTGATTATGTTTTGCTCGTGGAAGAGGCTTAGTCAACGGGTCTGCAACATTCAGATCCGTATCTATCTTGCAAATTTCTATGTCTCCCACCTGGACTAAATCCCGGATGGAATTGAAGCATCTCCTGATGTGCTTGGTTCTCTTGTGAAATCTGGATTCCTTCGCCAAGGCAATAGCTCCAGTATTGTCACAAAAGATTTTCATTGGACCCGATGCACTAGGTATGACACCTAGATCGGATATGAACTCCTTCATCCAGACTCCTTCATTTGCTGCTTCCGAAGCAGCTATGTACTCCGCTTCACATGTAGATCCCGCCACAACGCTTTGTTTAGAACTGCACCAACTGACAGCTCCACCGTTCAATGTAAACACATATCCGGTTTGCGATTTAGAATCGTCCGGATCAGTGTCAAAGCTTGCATCAACGTAACCATTTACGATGAGCTCTTTGTCACCTCCATAAACGAGAAACATATCCTTAGTCCTTTTTCGGGTATTTCAGGATGTTTTTGACCGCTGTCCAGTGATCCACTCCTGGATTACTTTGGTACCTCCCTGCTAGACTTATACCAAGGCACACATCAGGTCTGGTACACAGCATTGCATACATGATAGAGCCTATGGCTGAAGCATAGGGAACATCTTTCATTTTCTCTCTATCTTTTGCAGTGGTCGGGCATTGTGTCTTACTCAACTTCACACCTTGTAACACAGGCAGGAACCCTTTCTTTGCTTGATCCATTTTGAACTTCTTCAAAACTTTGTCACGGTACGTGCTTTGTGAAAGTCCAATTAAGCATCTTGATCTATCTCTATAGATCTTGATGCCCAATATGTAAGCAGCTTCACCGAGGTCTTTCATTGAAAAACTCTTATTCAAGTATCCTTTTATGCTATCCAGAAATTCTATATCATTTCCAATCAGCAATATGTCATCCACATATAATATCAGAAATGCTACAGAGCTCCCACTCACTTTCTTGTAAATACAGGCTTCTCCAAAAGTCTGTATAAAACCAAATGCTTTGATCATACTATCAAAGCGTTTATTCCAACTCCGAGAGGCTTGCACCAGTCCATAAATGGATCGCTGGAGCTTGCACACTTTGTTAGCTCCCTTTGGATTGACAAAACCTTCCGGTTGCATCATATACAACTCTTCTTCCAGAAAGGAATGTAGTTTTGACATCCATCTGCCAAATTTCATAATCACAAAATGCAGCAATTGCTACATGATTCGGACAGACTTAAGCATCGCCGCGGGTGAGAAAGTCTCATCGTAGTCAATCCGTTGAACTTTTCAAAAACCTTTCGCAACAAGTCGAGCTTTGTAGATAGTAACATTACCGTCAGCGTCAGTCTTCTTCTTGAAGATCCATTTATTCTCAATTGCTTGCCGATCATCAGGCAAGTCAACCAAAGTCCATAATTTGTTCTCATACATGGATCCCATCTCAGATATCATGGCCTCAAGCCATTTTGCGGAATCTCGGCTCACCATCGCTTCTTCATAGTTCGTAGGTTCATCATGATCTAGTAGCATGACTTCCAGAATAGGATTACTGTACCATTCTGGTGCGGATCTTACTCTGGTTGATCTACGAGGTTTAGTAACAACTTGATCTGAAGTTTCATGATCATCATCATTAACTTCCTCAC